GTTCTCCTCAGCTTCCCCTGCAGAAGCTTCTCTCTGGCATTTGTCACTTCCCTCAGAATACATCCTGTTCTTCTCTCTGTGGCATGACAGACCTGAACAGAAAACTTTCTAAGGTTGGTTCCAAGTACTTTGAAGACAAGCTGTTGTATCTCTCTGCCTTGAAATGTGTTAACCCCATAAGCCCTAGCCCAAAAACTTCACCCAGTTTCAAGACAGGAACTGTCAGTGACTCCCAGGTACTGTAGTTATCGTTGGCCACCAGACAGCCATGAAAAACTAACAACAAAAGTTGGGGTTTTTGCATTTCTCTAGACTTCATCAGGCTGTCCAACTTACTTCTTGACACCAGTTATATTGCAGGTCATATTCTTATCAACAGGTCACCTTTTTTTTTTTTTTTTTTGACTCTTGGTGTCTCACTCTTGTCTCATAGCCAATTTTCCACACAATAAATCCACCCTAGACCATCTCTTCCCTTAATACTCATCTCTACTTCTGCAAATCGCTAGTCAAATTCTAAGGTGCTTCCTCATTTGATTTGCTGGAGTAGAACACATTTGTGGGGTATGGAGTGAGTAAGAGTGAAGTAAGGATATTTGCAATTTAACCTAGTATCTGTGCATTTCATTAATCTTTCCTCCATCAACCACTTAACCTTTATGGGCGTTCTTATTGCCTCTCATTGTATTGATTTCTGTCCATTTCTCCAATTTAGTGAGATCATGCAGTATTTTAAACCTGTCTTCCACTGCATAACTAGGTTTAGCTGGGGGGTAATTGACATCAATTTAAAGAATGAAAAATTAAGCTGAATATCCGGGCAAAACTCCCTAATGGTGAGATGTGCTAGAATGCATCGCTGTCTCTCCGTGGGATTGGTGGCCGTTCCATTAGCATGTACATTACAACCACACCGAAGGAATATAAGATTATGGATTGGACACAACAACCCTGAAGTAGGAGGGGAAAGAGGAGCTGCAAAGCTTTGCAGCTTTCCTCCCATGGCCACACCATTCTGGGCTTGCCCCACTCCCTCCTCGTACCACCCACCAGTTCTCTAGGATGTGCTGATCCCACAATATCAACTAATTACAGGGATGGAGCCAATGTGGCATTCCCTCCAATACTACTGCAACCTCTGGTGTCCTGGTGGGAGTGTTGTGGTAGCTCTGAGACTTTCTCAAGGCCCATGGAAGAGTTTTCTCAGCCCTCTTTGCTACCTCCTGGCAAGCTGTGGAAACAAACGTTTCAGTAAGATCTGTTGTGAAAAGAAAAGAAACCATGATTTTACAATAGGAGAGGGCAGATTTAAATTAGATATAAGGGAGAAATGCTTGATTTTGAGGGAACTGCAGGTTCCCAAAGAGGTGATGAATGCTTCATTCCTGGAAACATTCAAGGCAAGACTGGGGAGGGCTCTGAGCAACACAGCCCAGTTGAAGTTGTCCCTGATCCGTGCAGAGGGGTTGGACTAGATGACTTTGAAAGGTCCCTTCCACCCAAAAATGTTCTATGATTCTAGGAGGAAGGCCAGAGCACTCTACAAACCCTTGAGCTGGGTAGCAGAGCCCAGGATGGTGGTGTGTGCTGGAAGGCTCATCTCTCCCCAGTCTGGAAGCAGCCAGGATAAGACAACACAGGTGAGATCATAAAGCTGTGGTCTACCTGCAATATCTGACTTTGGCACAGTCTTTTCCAATGGCACCCATCAGTTCTGTTACCATCCTTCACTTCTTAAAGAAATTAATATCTGATTAACTTTCCTAGCACAATGTTTGAAAACTGATTGCAGAAAGAAGCTGGGTTTTGCTGAGGCACAGATCAGATACAGGAGAATGAAGACTTTGCTTAAAATACACTGCTGACTCTTAGGTTTGGGAGACAGCAGTCTGAGCAGAAACAAGTGAGTTCTTTATGGACCTTGATGAAAGAGTTTAATTGCAGGAATAGCCAGAAAGAAAGTTCCTCCTCTCCACCTTTAATGGAGAGGTTCTCTCATTTACAAGGGGGAAAAAAAGAAGCCTATTTTCATCTGAAGTTGTTACTACCAGCAACCAGTCCTCTTTTATTAAAAGAGGAGTTCTGTCAGCTCCTGAAAAAGGGAAACATCTTTTTCAGCAACAAAACCCAATATATTTATCTCAAAAGCCAAGTAGGCTGGAATGCATTTTGTTTGGTGGAGGAGGCAACCTTTTTTCTTTCATGTTCTTGAAATTCATCTGCCATGAATAAGCAGATTTTTTAAAAAAAATTAAATTTCCCTCTAAGAAAATTTTGAAAGAAATGTTTCCATCAGCTCTGTTCAGTTAGCAGCAGGAAAAAAATGGCTCAGAAATGGCTCAATTTCACAGCTGCTCCCCTGAATTTTTCTGAGAGCTGAGAGAGCAAGGAGAAGACTTGCCAATTTCTGATTTTCCCTTAAGAAAGAAATTAGCAGATTATTGTGTAGCAATGGGGATGTTCATGGGACAAAGCGCTGACTGCAGACTCCACACTGGTCAAGAAGAAGAGAAATAATTTTCTCCATGGCAGGAGACTCAGGCTACAAATTTGTCAGATAACGAGTAGCCAGAGGCTGATACAAAAGACTAATTCTCTTAGTAAAACCCCTGGAGAGTTTCCCAATATGAGTCCAAGGCTGGCAAGCTGCTGGAGGAGACGGGAAGAAAATGCAGCCATCTCATGAGGACACTGCCTCTGGATTTCTTCATTGTGCTTTTTCTATACGGCACTTTTTGTAATTCCCTCTGGCTAGAACCATTGAAATGAAACTTATTGACTGAAATTCTGATCCTATTGATTTTACACATGAGATTTGTGCGAATATGAAAGAGCAGGAACTGCTCTGTAACCGCACCCATCTCCATTTATTCCCTGCTGAACACATGCTGTAGGCTTGCTTGTCCATCTCAGTCCCCTGAGCTCCCAGAAATAAATTACCCAAAATTCAAATACACTGCACCTATTAGCTCACAAATGTGTAGTAAATATTACTAGTCCTTGAATACACTGAGTTACCTTTTGCTTTCTTTTGTCTGCTTTTTTTTCATACCCCCTCTTTACCTCATTAACCTCATGTCCTGTTTTTCCCTTTTGTTTTGGAAGTCAAGAGGGAAAATGGGAAGAACATCTTCTGTGAGGAAGAAGGAATGGGAAACAGCACTGGGAGGAGATGATGGCTGCCTGGAAGGAAAGTGCCTGTGACTTCATGCTTCAAATACTCTAAGTGCTATTAGAAATATTTCTACCCCTAAGGAAATGGTCCTGGAAATGGGATCTGGTGAACTCAGGAGAGCAGGTGTGACAATCACAGAGGAGGCTGTGAGCAGAGGTCCCAAGTGGAAAACCCACATGATGTAAGCACTGGTCACCCACACCAACAGCACCAACAGCAGCCCCTGCCTTCCCCAGGGCCTGTGGGACAGCCCTGCATTTCCTTCCCACAGCACAGGGATTTCCTGTCAGGCCTCCTGTAGCTGGGTGCTTTTTGGCAGAGAGGTGGAGTGGCTTTTAGAGGCGAAATCAGCAGCCTCAGCATTGACATCTACTTCCAAACAATCAAACATCCCTTTGCAGATTTCTTGTTTACTGAAATGGTGGGTGTCCTTTCCATGGATCAGGTAGCAATCCTTGATTATCCTCATTTTAGTTTGATGCATTGTACCTTGCTGTGCTCAATACTTCCTTCCTCTCTAGATCTTTTTATAGCTAGATTGTCACATATCAATCAATGTTATAGATTAAAGTTGAGTATATTGTGACTTGTCTGGGCGTGTAGGAAAGCATTTTAAACAAAGTTCAATTTATTTTATTTTCCTTGTTGACACTTGTTTTCTTCTCTCTTTTCCAACCTTGTGAAATGGCAAAACCTGCCAGGAAAATTGTGGGACTTTAATTCACTAGAATTCTTAAATCACTGTTAGATGTCATGGAATGGTTATGAAAAGAAGGCAGGTCATCTGGTGAGGTCTGTGACCGCACTGCAGCACAAAAAACCCAAACCATCTGTTAATTACACTGATGGAAAACATAATCCAACATGGTGCTGAAACCTGATGCTTTGCACGGAGCATGTAAACGATTCACGTTGCAAGTGTTGATCAAAGTGCCTGAACTGTGAGGAGCTCCCAGAGGGCTGCTGGCAGGCCAGGTCACAACCACGGCACTGTGGGCTGGGGGCAGGCGCAGGGTGTGGGTGCAGGAGATGTGGGGATCCTCAGGGCATGTGGGGAGCCAGGGTCGCCACAGTGCCCAGGGCAGTGCCAGGGGAGCCCAGTGCCCACGGACACACACACTGCTGTCACAGCCCCAACATTCAGCTCTGCACTGCACCATTCCTACAGAACCGTGGGACGGCCTGAGATGGAAGCAACCCACAAGGATCATCGAGTCCAACTCCTGGCCCTGAACAGGACATCCCCAAGAGTCACACCATGTGCCTGAGAGCCTTGACAAAATGCTTCCTGAAATCTGCCAGGTTTGGAGCTGTGATCACTGCCCTGGGGAGCTCTAGTGCTCAAGCACGCTCTGGGTGAAGAACCTTTTCCTAATATCCAACCTAATTCCCCCGGGGCACAACCGCAGCCGTTCCCTCGGGCGCTGTCACAGCAAGAAGAGATCGGTGCTGCCCCTGCACTGCCCCTCCAGAGGAAGCTGCAGCCCACGATGAGCTCTGCCCTCAGTCTCTTCTCCAGGCGGAACAAGCCAAGCGCCCTCAGCCACTCCTCGTATGGCTTCCCCTTTAGACCCTCCACCAAGGCAGCCCCCAGCTCTGAGCCACCGGGAACCAGGGGCAGCAGCCTAAGCCGCGGCCTCTCCCGCCCGGGGACAGGCGAGGGGCCGGGCCCCGGGCCGCGACCCCCGCCCGGGAGGAGCGGGCGGCCCCGCCGCGGGCAGCAGCCGCGGGCCCGGGTGGGACGGCCCCGAGCATGCGCGAGTCGCGCGCGTCACGGGCGAGGCCGGCGGGAGCGCGCAGCCAGGCGCGCCCCCGCGCTCCCTCCTCCCTCCCGCCCGCCTGCCCGCCCGCCGCCGCTCCCGCGCCTCCATTCGGCTCCGCCGCCGCCCGCCGAGGAGGGGACAGCGACAGTCGGGAGCACGGGAGAGGGACGCACCCTCCCCCGCCGCCAACCCGTTTCCTCCTCCTTCTCCTCCACCTCCTCCCCCGCCTCCGCCTCCGCCTACCGGCCGGGAAGAGCTCGCCGTGCCCGCTGCAGCCCCGCTGGATGCACTGAGCGCTCGGGCGCGGGGAGAGAGGGGCAGGAGGGAGCCGGGAGCCCCGCCGCGGAGGCGCTGTGCTACCCGGAGCCTCACGGCCATTTGCTTTAATTCTTTTATTGCCCCCCGGCCGCCGCCTCCTTTCTGCCCGCGGGACCCAGCCGAGGCGGCGGGGGCTGCATCCCCCCTCCCCCCCTTTTTTTTTTTTCATTTTTTTTTTTTTAATTTTCATCGCCGCCATGGGATGTACCCTGAGTGCTGAGGAAAGAGCCGCCCTGGAGCGGAGCAAGGCCATCGAGAAGAACCTGAAGGAGGACGGGATCAGCGCGGCCAAAGATGTGAAACTACTCCTGCTCGGTGAGAACCCGCCGGTCGCCCCCCATCGCCCCCCTCTTCCTCCTCCTCTTCCCCCGTGCTTATCCCACTTCATCTCTCTTCTAACAGGAGCCGGAGAGTCGGGAAAAAGCACCATCGTGAAGCAAATGAAGTAAGTCCCGCGGGGGGAGCGAGCGAGCGGCGGTGCGGGGCGGGAGAGCGGGGCGGGGGCTCGCGGAGGTGAGCGAGGGCCGCGGGCGCCATGTTTACCTGAGGGGACCGCGCAGGCACAGCGCGGCGGGGCCGCCGCCGCTCCCGGCGCTGTCCAGGGCCCGCTGGTGCTGAAGCGGCGCCCCGCGGCCTCGCCCCCGGCGGCCGTGCAGCGAGGCCGGCTGCCCACCTTCCCCCTCGGCGCCGATGTCCCCGGGAAGCGAGCCGCTGTCACTTAAGCTTAATGTCGGGGTGTTATCTGCCGGCTCTGCGGATTTAAACCAAGGCTCCCTGTCGCTGAAAGCCCCTTTTATTGAGCTGGTACCTTCTTCTTTTAATTAATGAACGACGAGCTTGGCCATTCATCTCATTCAAACCTCTCCTGCTCTGGGATCCGAGTCTCCCTATGGTACTCGGCGCCGCTCCTCGCTGGCGCTTCCCACACCCTTTTTCTGTGTTTAATTAGATGTAACCGTGTAATAAACAGCAGCGAAGAGCCCCACCGCAAGGTCTCTTCCAAGCATCCCCGTGGCTTGTGTAAATGCACCCCGTAGGAAAGCAGGTGCAGGGAAGGCTAATAGAGGTGGAGGTACACCCGTGGTGCGACTATTCTCCCCCCACCCATTTAAAAAAAAAAATTAAAATACAATGAAATTCCCCGTCCTCCCACCGCTACAAACATGACGGGCTGGTTGGAGGCGGGCGCCATCACGGAACGAGCCTGGGCGCTGGTTCAGGGTCTGGATTTCAGCTGGGAGCGGTTGCCGCTTTGCGATGCTGGTGCTTGCAGAGGGATCCGTGCCTGGGAGGGGCCCCCCCGCACCGGGGTTGCTTAGCGAGGGGCAGAGGCTCAGAGAGGGGTGTGGATGGGACGCGGGGAGCGGGGCGCAGGTCCCGGCGCGGGCACCCGGGGCTGCGCGGGCCACGGGCGGCTCCCGGCGCGGCGTTCAGGCGGTTCGTGCTGGACAGCGCCCGGCGGGGGCTCGAACCGCGCTCGGCTGCCTCCGGAGGGGCCGGGAGGAGCCTGAGGGGCTCCGGGATAAGCAGAGGGGCCCGTGCCCGTCGCGAGCTGCAGCCTTGAGCTCCCGTAGCCGGCCCGGGTGTGCGTGTGTGCATGTGTGAATGTGGGTGTGAGTGTGTGCGTGTGTGTGAATGTCGGTGTGAGTCTGTGCCTGTGTGTGTGGTGTGTGTGTGTGAGAGTGTGTGTGAGTGTGTGCCTGTGTGTATGAGTGTGTGTGTGTGTGAGAGTGTGTGTGTGAGTGTGTGTGAATATGGGTGGGAGTGTATGCCTGTGTGTATAAGTGTGTGTGAGAGAGTGTGTGTGAATGTGGGCGTGCATGTGCGTGTGCATGTGTGTGCACCACGGGGGCAGATCTGGGCCTTCAGCTCAGCTTCCCTCCAGGCAGGGTGGTTCAGCAGGTGACCCGGATATTTCTGTATCAGCTCCGTGGCCGCTGTGCCCACCCCTCGGGGGTTCAATGAAACCATCATCCCCGCCTGAGGCCGTGCTTTTCCCAAGGCGCTGCGGGGCTGGGAGGTCTCATTGTGAGGAGACTTGCCTCTAGTGCACAGTGGTGTCCGTGCCTTTTCCCACTGACGTTTGTGTACCCTGCTTCTGTAGGCTCTGATTATCCCCTTTCACTGTTTGAAAGGGGGCTTTTCCCCCTTTCAACCCCACAGTTGATTTGGGTCTGGGGTGGGGTGGGTTTGGTTTGCTCTTGTTTGTGTGCAGAAGGTGGATCAGGAGACATGTTGCTGCAGATGAACACCAATAAATTATTTAATCTCTAGGAATTGCTTCTGCAGAAGCATGCTGGAATGGCGGGCGATGGGTTTTGGTTGAAGGGAGAGGCTGTAGGAACTACAACAGCAGAGTGCACACATAGAGCCCATAGGCAGGAGGGTGGCAGTGACCACACTGGCTACACAATAAGCATACAATCACTCTTGTTTTCCAAAGAGCAGAGCTCTTGTTTTTTGAAACAAATCACATCAAGATAATAACCTGTTTGCTGGACTAGACTGGTATATTGAGGGCTGAAATATACCCATTTTGTGTGTGTGTGTGTGTGTGTATATATATATATATATGTATATATATACACATGCATTTCATTAAAACTACTCAAAGTAAGGCATGCCAGGCTTGCAGCTTTGTACCTAATGTGAAAACATCAAGGAAGCTGCTATGATGGATGGGCTTATAGTGCTGGAAACTGGGAGGCATCTGTGAGTGTGGAAACTCCAGTGGAGTGCGCGGAGGCTGGGGTGGGGACGGCGGTGTTGCCATGAGCACGGCAGCAGCATCTGGAGGGAGCCGCGCAGCCGCGGGCGCCGCGAGAGCGACGGGGAAACCAACACTGCCCAAAATTAATTTAAATATAATCTAGGCATTAGCATTTCACCTGGTCAAGCTCCATTAGACAGCCTTGCTGAGAACCTAATGAATTCTTAATAAAGATTAAATCTCATGTTCATTAGATTTTGATGAAAGAGTGCTATTTTTTTTTTTAATACTGTATTATTGGTGTGCTTCTAGATAATAAATCTCATCCTCATGAATGGCTCAAGCAGCTTCACACTTGGATATTGCCTTGAAACAAGCACAGGAATCTAGAGGCAGATTGGAGAATGCTAAGACAAAGGAACAGAGAGCAGACATTGTTACATAGGACTAGAAGAGGTTACACACTGCCCAGTTAATCCTCGAAATGTTAGGTAGCAGGAGAAAAAGTAGAAATTACAGTAATTTGAGAGTGTAGCCAGGATGTAGATAAGGATTTGTAAAATGTAATTCAGGATTTTTTAGTGAAATATTTGGAGATACCTTTTAGCTGGTGAATGGGGAGTTATCGATCAAACCAAGAGGTACTGGTGAATGACAGAGAGGTGGAACTGGAGTCTGGAATGTACATCCTAAACAGTGGCAACACAGGCTAGGAATGACTCTTTTCTTAGCACCCATGGTTGTTTTGACACCCTTCAGCCTTGCACTTTGACTATTCCACCTTGGCTGATTAATTTTGCTGTATTTTTTCACAACCAGTCCTGCAGTCCAGATGCTTTTACCCATGCCTCAAAATGAAGGGTCGGAGCCAAGCTAGTCAGAGGAACCGTTCTGAAAGGCATGATTGTGCCATGCAAGCCAATGAGACTCCAGAGTGTGCCACAGCATTCAGAATCAGGCTGTGTCCAGATTCTGTTTTCACTCAGCTTAATCTAAAAACCATCTGTAACCAAGCAAAGCTCAGGCTTTCCTTTAAAATCTAAGCTAGAAGGTGAGAGCTACCAGACGAGAGAAAATCATCTTCCACTCACACCACCCTATCTCAGTAAATTCACAATATAGGAGTGCAATGGATATAAATATTTTTTAGATCTTGTCTATTCAAATAAATGTTGAGCACATGCAGAATTTGGAATTTATAATCTTCTTTTTTTGGAATACCTGGATTGTAGCATGAAATAGAGACTGATGTTATTTTAGGATATTTTTGTGGGGACTTAAAACTCTGGTGAATATGCTTGTTCATCAGAAGCCTCAGCAGAGCAGGACACCAAGCATATCTCCATCTCTCACTGCTTAGCAGGACACTTAAATCTGTGACATGATCCAGTGGTGAGCAGAGCTGGACTGCTCGGGCGGGGACACCATCCGCTGCCATCAGCACAGGCTTCCAGGGAACCCAGTGTTTAATGGTGCTTACGCAGAGAGGCTGACTTAGCTGGCGTGGCTTCAAAAACAACGTCCTGCCACCTACTCAGCAGCCACCGTTCTGGTTGGTGAGCCAGGGCAATATTTCACCTTCCCAAACAAGGGTTTAGCTATAGGTGTGGCATTCCAGAGGAGACATGGCTTCATCTGCCTGCAGGAAAAATCTTGGGTTTTGGTTTTGGATTTTACTTTTACAGAAGTAGCAGCTTCTGTCCCCTGCTGTGCTGGGCACAGAGATTGAGTCCAGCTCCCTTTCACAGGATGCCAGAGCTTCCAGCCCTGCATGTCCTCCAGAGCAGCTATGTGCCTCTTCACCAGAAGTGCTGGCAGTAACTCAGTTGATAGGCTTCTCTGCTGTGCCAGTCATTTTCACAAAATGTTTTTTATGTTAGGTATGAGAAGGATGGAAATATACAATCAGGAGAAAAATACACTAGTGTACAGTGCTTATCTTGAAATATCTACTATCTTCTCCCCAGCAGCCATCAGTCCCAACAGCCGGCTGATACATTGTTCTGACCTTTTTCAAAAAGCCCCTCAAAACAGCCCCAGGTTCTACTTGCTCTCTATGTAACCAAATTACTTATAATCTAATGAACTTCTTCAGTGAGAAGCAGTCCCCGCCCACTGGTTTTACAGCAATTTGATGCCAAATGCCGTTGAAATGAAATGATGTGTTGTGAACACCCACTTCAGTGCTCTTTGCTGCATGTCTGTGTCTCAAATCCTTAGTGATCTCACACTTGCAGCCCCTTCCCCCAGGAATACTTCACCCCACAGGGGCTAACGGCGCAGAATTGCTTCGCCTCTGCAGCATCTTCCCAGGGACAGGGCTGCAAACTGTGTCTTCATGGTCTGTCCCACTCCCCAGCACAGCTCTTCTGCCTTCTGGCACTGGGTGCAGAGCCCCACTCGGCTCTGCTTCCATCTGGGAGCTGTTTGATCGTGGTGGGAGCTGGCAACCCAGAGGCACAAACCTCACTGGAGCACCAGGTCAGGCTGAGCCACCCTCATCCCTACTTGTCTCCTGCTGTTTTCCAGGATTTCTGTGATTTTAAGCCCAAAGTAGGGCAGTGACAGGCTGCACCTGGGCAGTATTTGAGCTGGGTTTCAATAAGCAGGGGAAGGGGCTGCAGCCTTCCCAATGAAGTTGTGCCATTCTCCCAGGACCTGCCCCAGCGCTCTCTGCCGTGGGTGCGGATTTGGCACTGCGCATGTGGCACACGGACCCAGCAGGGAGGAGGCTC